TTCACCCAGTTGCAGGGTGAATAGTCGAAATAGACCTGTTATTCGTCCAGTTGCAGGGTGAATAGTCGAAATAGACCTGTTATTAATCAAGTTGCAGGGTGAATAGTCGAAATAGACCTGTTATTAACCAAGTTGCAGGGTGAATAGTCGAAACAGACCTGTTATTAATCAAGTTGCAGGGTGAATAGTCGAAACAGACCTGTTATTAATCAAGTTGCAGGGTGAATAGTCAAAATAGACCTGTTATTCACCCAGTTGCAGGGTGAATACTAGTAGTCAAAATAAACCTGTTATTCACCCAGTTGCAGGGTGAATAGTCGAAATAGACCAGTTATTCATCCAGTTGCAGGGTGAATAGTCGAAATAGACCTGTTATTAATCAAGTTGCAGGGTGAATAGCCGAAATAGACCTGTTATTAATCAAGTTGCAGGGTGAATAGCCGAAATAGACCTGTTATTAATCAAGTTGCAGGGTGAATAGTCGAAACAGACCTGTTATTAATCAAGTTGCAGGGTGAATAGTCGAAACAGACCTGTTATTAATCAAGTTGCAGGGTGAATAGTCAAAATAGACCTGTTATTCACCCAGTTGCAGGGTGAATACTAGTAGTCAAAATAAACCTGTTATTCACCCAGTTGCAGGGTGAATAGTCGAAATAGACCTGTTATTCATCCAGTTGCAAGGTGAATAGTCGAAATAGACCTGTTATTCACCCAGTTGCAGGGTGAATAGTTGAAATAGACCTGTTATTCACCCAGTTGCAGGGTGAATACTAGTAGTCAAAATAAACCTGTTATTCACCCAGTTTGCAGGGTGAATAGTCGAAATAGACCTGTTATTCATCCAGTTGCAGGGTGAATAGTCGAAATAGACCTGTTATTCACCCAGTTGCAGGGTGAATAGTCGAAATAGACCTGTTATTCATCCAGTTGCAAGGTGAATAGCCGAAATAGACCTGTTATTCATCCAGTTGCAGGGTGAATAGTCGAAATAGACCTGTTATTAATCAAGTTGCAGGGTGAATAGCCGAAATAGACCTGTTATTAATCAAGTTGCAAGGTGAATAGCCGAAATAGACCTGTTATTCACCCAGTTTCAGGGTGAATAGTCGAAATAGACCTGTTATTAATCCAGTTGCAGGGTGAATAGCCGAAATAGACCTGTTATTAATCAAGTTGCAGGGTGAATAGTCGAAATAGACCTGTTATTAATCAAGTTGCAGGGTGAATAGTCGAAATAGACCTGTTATTAATCAAGTTGCAGGGTGAATAGTCAAAATAGACCTGTTATTAATCAAGTTGCAGGGTGAATAGTCAAAATAGACCTGTTATTCACCCAGTTGCAGGGTGAATACTAGTAGTCAAAATAAACCTGTTATTCACCCAGTTGCAGGGTGAATAGTCAAAATAGACCTGTTATTAATCAAGTTGCAGGGTGAATAGCCAAAATAGACCTGTTATTAATCAAGTTGCAGGGTGA